AAAGAAATCAATAATAAATAAATACCATTCTGATCAGGAGGTCTGGAACAAAGAGGGCTGATTGTTTGATCTCCTCTTGGAAGCTACAACTGTGATCGTTCTGTCCAGCGGAACATCCAAGGAGAGGGCATATTGGGGCAGGGAGGGGGCCTGCTGGGAAGGGATACACAACCTCCCCTCTGTATCACATCCAGCCACCTGCCAGCCCTCAGATCATGGCTTTCAGTCAGTCAGATCCTACCTCCACACAGCTCTAGGGGAATTACAACTAGAATACTTTAAAAGGAGTTAACCCACATTAACAGTATGGTTATATTGCTAGACTTTATTTGGTATTGTAAAATGTATATTAACTCTCTCTCAAAAAAAAATTTGGCCTGAAATTAGTTTAGAAGGGCATGAATTTCTCCCTTTGTTTCTACCTTTGGTTTTTGGGTGGAGATGATACCGCCAGATTACACTGCTGCACTAAAATATACTGGGAATCTGGTTTTATTCTATGTGGCAACAAACGCTTCCTTACTAGTGACCCAGCCAGATGGGAGGGGTATAAATAATAAAGTAGTTGTTGTTAATCTATATAAAAATGAACCACCACCGGCAGACGAATGCTTCTCATTTGCTTATTTTCTCTGTGGCTTGTACTTCTCCCTGAAACATCAAATCATAGATTGGATGAGAACATGAAACTAGTTACCAGGGTATTTTCTTACACAGCTCTGACAGAATAGTGCCTCGACATTTTACTCAAATCCCTGCTGCTGTCATCTCCAGAGATGGAAAAAAATGTGGCCACTAGATGGTCTAAATGGACTTCGGGTGGTAGGGTTAAAATGTGCAGAAGCCATTCAAAGGCAATGGGAAATTTAAGAATTTCAAATAGGTTTGCTTTGCAAGGTTGAGCCAGGGTGGAGAGAAATGTGGGACAGCACTCACCTTGTGCCGGGGAGGAAGACTGTCTTGGTATGTCAGAGGGTATCAGAACACAGCAGTAGAGAGGTGCAGTGTAGTATAGTGGTTAGAGCAGGCTTCCTAAACCTTGGCCCTTCAGATGTTTTTGGCCTACAACTCCCATGATCCCTAGCTAGCAGGACCAGTGGTCAGGGATGATGGGAACTGTAGTCTCAAAAACATCTGGAGGGCCGAGGTGGAGGAAGCCTGGGTTAGAGTGTTGGACAGGGACCAGGGTTCAAATCCCTGTTGACCTTGGGCCAATCACTCGCTCTCAGCCTAAGCTTTCTCTTAGGGTTGTTGTGAGGATAAAATGGGGAGCAGGAAAACTATGCTGCTTGAAAGAAAGGTGGTACACAAATGTAATTAATCAGTGCTTTTTTCTGGGGGGATGCAGGGGTACATATACCCCTAAACATTTTGTGAATCTAATGCGAGAAGAAACTAAAAAAAAATTCTTCCCTAGCACGGTGAATTGTCAGTTCTGTTGCTACCCCCAATGGCAGCTTCATTTCCTGTCACAGTGTTTCCTGAGTCTCGGATGGAAGCGAGCGTTTAATGTGTGAAGTAGGAGTTGGAATCCAGCACGGTGATTGGTTAGTTTCGTTGTTACCACATCCAATGGCAGCTTCATTTCCTTTCTGGGTGATTTTTCTTGAGTCAAAGTTAGAGTACCCCTAAACATTTTTTAAAGAAAAAAAAAGCACTGTAATTAATAAAATAAATACGGTAGATCAGGAACATGCCTGTTTACTGGTGAGTATTGACTCAGTCATGCTGACCTCTTGGCCATTCAATGCGTGGGATTCAGATATGCCTTTAAAAAATTCAATAGCCATATATGCTCTTATATTAAATGCTTGATTGAAGCTTTCTATTATTATTTGGTATTCTGTGGTTTTATATCTTGATTTTATTCTGTGAACCACCCTGAGACCCCTGGGTATAGGGAGGTATATAAATTCAATAAATAAATAAATATAACAATAACAACAATATTTGAAATATATCTCAACCATTGAGTTCCAAAGGTTTTATGTCTGGGTCATATTGGTTAACAGTTTCCTGTAAGATGAAAAAGGGAAGTTGAACTAGACACTGAAACAGCTTGCGGTTTTTAACTACAGCGTTTTGAAGTCAGAAATAAAGGGTCATCTCTCTCTCTCTCTCTCTCTCTCTCTGTCTCTCTCTCTCTCTCTCTCTCACACACACACACACACACACACACACACTCAATCTTAGTGGGTACTGTAAATTTCGCAGTAGATTCCTGCAGTTGTGATTGGAATTTTATGGTCCTAGATATTTGGTAATGTTCATAAGCGTACCAACCAAGCACACACATAGATCAGCACAAGAAGGCCAACCTGGAACCATTTTGATTCCTAAACTGAGCAAATGTTTTCTCTGCAAGGTCAAAGTGGGAAACCTCCCCATTGTCTCTTTCCTCACAAATCCTGTCTTAAGGGCACATTTAAGATAAGAATAGGGTGTGAGCCTGTGACATGGCCCAGGAACTAAGTATTTATCATTACAAAAGACTGGCCAGGCTCCCCAGGCAATCCAATCAAGTAAGCAGAGTATCCAATCAAGTAACCTGCCAGATAAACAAGGACAGGAGAAAAACAACATTCAAATTTCTGTTTTAGACCACCTTTTCTGTGATGTAGGTATGATGTATCTGAGGGTTGGTCTTAGGTTACACCCCTTCTGTGATGTGTGTATGATGTTTCTGGGGGTGGTCTTGATCTATAGGGTGGCATTTTAAAAAGTCTTGATAAGGTCTTGCATGCCATTGTTCTGGGTTCCTCCTCCTTTCCTGCGTGTGAGGGGAGCACCCTGTTGCAAGGGATCAATAAAGATCAAGCTTACTAGCTGCTTTGCTTCTCAATATTCTCTGGTTGGCCTCTGTTATTCTTTCCTATCAATAGGGCACCCATGTAAGGACTCTATATGGGCTCTTGGATACCCCATAAGGGAAAAGGGCAATTTTTGTTTACAACACCAGGTCTTCTCACAAGACTGTGGCTGAGGTGAGATGATCTGAATGGCTTCTCCCAAAAGAGTCCTGGGAACTGCCGCTCACTAAGGGTGCTGGAAGTTGGAACTATGGGAGGCGAATACAGCAGCTCTCAGAGTTCTTTAAATGCATGGTGTGGATGTGACTGACTGTCTTTAAAAAGCACATCAGAGTAGCATTGTAGTAGGACATGGCTCAAGCATATCTGAGTCATAGGCTAACCAAACAAACAAACCCAGGGTGAGACTCTGTACCGAATGCAGCCTCCAGTGACCTCTGTTTAGTTGTAGTTTAACTAGTTTTGGGAATTGTTAGGCTGCCCAGCACGCGTTCTGCCACAGGGCAGAAGGAATGATCAGACCTTCCTTCTGGAGAGTCATAATGGAAAGAAGAAAGTTCAAAGAAACATACAAGGTAAATTTGCCTTCATCCTACCTAGGTGGAGGTCTGAACAATGTGAAATATATTTTTAAGAAGCTTCACCAATGTGAAATCTGCCCCTAGAGATAAAAAAACAACAGATTGTGGTCATAATAAATAGTTACTGGTGGCTCCTGCTCAGAAAGGTCTTCCTAATGATTAGTCAGTATCTCCTTTCTTGCAATTTGAATCAGTTGGTTCGGGTGCCTGTACTCTGGAACAGCAAGTTGTCTTCCATGTGACAGCTCTTGATATATCTGGAGATGTTAGATATACCGTACTTTATCAATGTAAACTGCAGAACTGGCTAAACTCAGTGTAAATTCAGAAGGTGGAGTGGACTGTTCTCTACCAGAGAGTGAGTTTTTTTTGGGTAAAGCATTATTATTATTATTTCATTTTATAAAGTATATAAAACAGAGAGAACAATTATAACAACGGGCAAATATTAGAAGATGAAAAACAATCAAACGGTATGTAGAGTGAGTTGTTGCACATGAGTTTAAAAAACAAAGCCCAAGAGAAGACTATCAACTTGTATCAGGTCATGAAGTCAAGTTTCAGATTTGCCAGGCTTTTGTGATGAAGGTTGTATTGAAAGTGGTGGTTCTGGTGTATATGTCATAAAAGAATGCCAAATCATCTAAAATGTGTCTGGAGCTTCTAGTCCTTGCAAAAATTTCAAATTATGTCTGATTTGCTCCATTATAGCTATTTTCCGGTGTAAGATTTTGGGCTGTTTTCCACTGAGTTGCAACCACTCGTCATGCTGCCAAGATCATACATAAGACCAATTCTTTTCACAATATATCATCAAAAATATCTGTCAACATTAATTTTGGGCAGTGAACAATGCTTTAATTTCTGTCAAAATTAAATCCCAAAAATCTCACACCAACCGACATTCCTGTAAATGATAATATGCACCAATATTATCACCCTCCAAGAATTAGGTGATATAAAAGATTTTTGACATTTGCAAAGGGGTATAATACCATTTGTGTAGTAATTTTAATGAGTTTTCTCTAAGGATTTTAAGGGTTGCGATTCCCAAATTTTATTTCAGTCCCTAGGAATAATTTGTGTGCCAATATCCAGCACCCTAACTCTTTTTGAGGAGTTTCATAATTATACTAAGAAATGTGATGTACAGTTTGAAAACCAATCTCTTCTTCCCCCAACCCCCATCGTGCTTAAATAAATTTTCAAATTGTGTTACGGGTCTCAGAGGACCTTGCGTTTCCACATGTTCTTTTACAACGAGATTGAAACAAATCCAGTTTGTGTTAAATGCATAGCTGTCAAAGTTTCCCTTTTTTTAAAGGGAAATTCCCTTATTCCGAATAGGATTCCTCGCAAGAAAAGGGGAAAAGTTGACAGCTATGGTTAAATCTGATCTGACACGTCCGCGTCCCTTTCACGGAGAAGCAGCCCTGCGCCCGTGCGCGCACCTCTCTCCCATTTCCTACCTCTACCTGTGGTTTGATTTATAGCGGCAAGTGAGGGACGCGGGAGGGGGCGGGGCAAGAAAGGGAATCGCCCTTCCCAAAGATGGCCGGGTTGGTTCTACTGCTTGCTTCTGCGCAAAACGGCCTGGGGCCCCTCTTACTAACCACCCGCAAAGATGGCCGCTCCGGCTTCAGGGCCTCTTCCGCGCCTGCGCGCAGCCGGGAGGTTTTCGCGGCGTGGTGCGGCCGCGGCTTACGATCGGCTTGGGGAAGTTGTGCTTGGGGGGGAGGCGCCTGCGATGGGCTCGCGCCGGGTCCGCGCTCTGCACCTGGCCTTCCTCCAGCAGCGGGTGCAGGCTCCCCGTCTGGGCGCCCGGAGGTGGCTCAGCGCCCGCCCGGCCCACGCGCCCAGGATGGAGTACCAGGTGAGGCACCGCCGGGGCGCCGGAGACCCCCTCGCAAGCCCGGCGGGGGTTGCGTCAGCCGGCGGGCAGGCAGGGATCCTCTTCCCACGCTCGCACCTGCTGCAACTATTGGTCGGTGGGCTGGTTCCGTGAAGCGGGGGTGCAAGCGACCCCCACTCCAAAGAAACGGAAGCCTCGGAGAGAGGCAGTAAAACACACACATGCAATTCCCCCCTTAAAGTTAAAGATATTAAACAAGCAAACAAAAAGACTAGTTTTGAAATTCGCACCAGCATTTCTAAGCGTCCGGGCAGCCACGAGTAAGCAGGAATGCTTTTTGCACGCGCCAAAAAGATTGCGGCGTGGACGCCTGCTTGATCTGCTTCCCTGTTTTGCATTGTTTTATATTTCGTTTCATTTCATTGGTGTGCGCGTGGTTAGTGATTTCTAACGCTGGCACCGAATTTTAATTCGGTTTCTTTCCGTTGCATTAGCTTTCTAGGCTGCAGTCCTGTTTTGTTTTGTTTTGTTGGTGTGTTCATGTGTGTGTGTGGGGGGGGATTCTAGTGCTGGATAGTAATTCGCTTTCTTTACGTTTTATAGGCTGTCGCCCAACCTTTTATTTCTCAAGTTGAGCCTTGGCGACTTGCAGACGCAAAGAATGAATTGCATTCCAAGCAGAATTGTACATTCCGGGGGGGGGATGTATTGTACATTGCGGGGGCGACTTTATACTGTACTTTCTTGCGTAGTAGATTCCGAGCCAGAAAGGGAAGGAACAAAACTATAGGGGCGAATCTACTACTACTATCTATTTGAAATAGGTAGTTGTATTAGTTTTTCCACAGATAAAACAGTAACCGCAAACAAAAGAAAGCAAAATTGGAGTACACGTTTGTCAGTTAGAGGCAAATCACTTTTAAAACAAGGGAGGGAGAAATTGCCAGGTGATCGGAAGACCTGGCTCTCTTGAGGCATGTGCTTCCACATGTTTTTGGACTCCAAATCCCATCATCCTTTGCTGCTGGCTTTTCTGGCAAGGCATGAAGGGAGTCCAGCAGCGCCGGGAGGGTTGCACGTTCCCTGCTCTTAAGACCTCAGCAACAGATGTCTGTGGTCCGTTTTTTTTTAAGGTGGCAATTCTAGGGACTGAACTTGGGGAGGGGGCATTTGTATGCAAAGTGGTGTGCTCATTTGTTGATCTGGCTGGCCCCACAACCCAGCCTTCGCTGACTGGTGCCCTCCAGATGTTTTGAACTGTTTCCATCAGCGCCTAGCAAGCACATTTTGGACTCAGGTGGCAGTAGTAGTGCTCTAAGGCAGTGTTTCCCAACCTTGGGCTTCCAGCTGTTTTGGACTACAACTCCCATCATCCCTAGCTAGCAAGACCACTGGTCAGGGATGATGGGAATTGTAGTTCAAAAACAGCTGGAGGCCCAAGGTTGGGGAACACTGCTCTAAGGAAGCATTCCCTGTTCTCAGTGGTCGATTTTGTTGTGATTTTATGCTTCCCACACCACAATTGGCCCCATAGGAGTTTTTTTCTAGCCACCTAACTTGTTTCAGGTTAACATTCAATGCCTTTTTGTGTGTGTGTCCGTCCATCCATTTTAAACCTGCCAGTCTGGTGTCCTCAATATGTTGTTAAACCGCATCTTCCATCATTCCTGACCTTTGCCCAAGCTGACTGGGGCAGATGGGAGCCGGGGTCCATCAATATCTGGAGAGCCACTGATTAGCCACCCTTATGTCAGTCGAATTTTTCAGGCATTGTCCACAGGGCTGGGCAATATTTGGCTTTCAACATCGCGATCAATCACTACCTAAACATTGCAATATTCCAGTGTATCACAATGTCTGAAACAAGAATGGACAGCAAACATGGTAATGTCCTGACAACTGCTACTACTGCTACTAAAGCAGATACATTTTTACTAACCTTTAATCATAGTGAATACAAATAATCTGGGAAAATATTGAGGGGGGGGGTGGAATTAAGTTTGATGCATAAATGAAAATAAACTCAATGATTTCATGCTTTAGCTAAACCATTAAAGATTTCCGGAGAATATATTAATGTTCTATGCAGTTTTAAGGGCATTAAATTTAGTAAACTAATGTTAATTACACACATACAAGTAAAAAATTATTTTCAACTAATTTAAGAGTTACTTAAGTACAGTGGTACCTCAGGTTACATACGCTTCAGGTTACAGACTCCGCTAACCCAGAAATACTGCTTCAGGTTAAGAACTTTGCTTCAGGATGAGAACAGAAATCGTGCTCCAGCGGCAGCAGGAAGCCCCCTTAGCTAAAGTGGTGCTTCAGGTTAAGAACAGTTTCAGGTTAAGAACAGACCTCCAGAACGAATTAAGTTCTTAACCCGAGGTACCACTGTAATTTACACAAACCACAGCCCCCACACCCCCATGACACCCCCCACATCTCACATACCCCCTTCCCCCCACTTTTTCTTCCAAAACCACCACCACCACCTCACGAGCGGCTGCCTAAGCTTGGGGTGGGTAGTTCTGGTGGGAGCGACTCTGCATCTTAGGAAAACATTCGACGTGCAACCTGGTTTGTGAAGCAGGAGCTGGCAGCAGATCTGTGGTTTTTAATTTGTTTTTAAGCCTACCCGCCTTCACTCCCTTCGCAAAGTTGTTGGCGGCAGGGTGGGAAGGTGGAATGAGGGTGAAAGGGATTTCCTAATCGATTTCATCAGAGTAGCTCACAGGGGACGATTCTTTCCTGACTATTGCCAGGGTGCATGCATTCTCACACATATAGAGAGGAGGGAGGGGAAGAGGCTTAAACAACATAACCTACCAGCCTGGTGGTGCCCCTAAAGGTAAAGGTAAAGGTACCCCTGCCTGTACGGGCCAGTCTTGCCAGACTCTAGGGTTGTGCGCCCATCTCACTCAAGAGGCCGGGGGCCAGCGCTGTCCGGAGACACTTCCGGGTCACATGGCCAGCGTGACAAGCTGCATCTGGCGAGCCAGCGCAGCACACGGAAACGCCGTTTACCTTCCCGCTGGTAAGCGGTCCCTATTTATCTACTTGCACCCGGGGGTGCTTTCGAACTGCTAGGTTGGCAGGCGCTGGGGCCGAGCAACGGGAGCGCACCCCGCCGCGGGGATTCGAACCGCCGACCTTTCGATCGGCAAGCCCTAGGCGCTGAGGCTTTTACCCACAGCGCCACCCGCGTCCCGCGGTGGTGCCCCTAGCCTTGCTCTAAAACAGTGTTTCCCAACCTTTTTTGGGCAAAGGCACACTTCTTTCATGAAAAAAATCTCGAGGCACACCACCATTAGAAAATGTTAAAAAATTTAACTCTGTGCCTATATTGACTATATAAAAAGTACAGTGGTGCCTCGCAAGACGAAATTAATTCGTTCCGCAAGTCTCTTCGTCTTGCGAGTTTTCCGTCTTGCGATGCACGGTTTCCCATAGGAATGCATTGAAAATCAATTAATGCGTTCCTAGGGAAACCGCCTTCAGACCAGGTCCGGGGACAGTCTGTCCCCCGACCTCTTCTGAAGGCTGGGGGGGGGGACAAGGGCTTTTCTTCCCACTGCCAGCCTTCAGAAGGCTGTTCTGAAGGCTGGCGGTGGGAAGAAAAGCCCTTCTTCCCACCTCCCGCCCCGCAAGCTCCGGGGAAAGGAGGGCTTTGCTGCCGACCGCCAGCATTTTAAAAGCCCCTGCTGTCCCGGGGCGATTTTAAAATGCTGGCGGGCGGGAGCGAAGTCTCCGCTGCCCCGAGGAGATTTTAAAATGCTGGGGGTCGGCAGCGAACGCTTCGCTCCCGCCCGCCAGCATTTTAAGATCGCCCGGGGCAGCGGAGAAGTCTCCGCTGTCCCGGGAAGGCAGGCGGGGGGAGCAAAGACTTTTGCCCCCGCCTGCCTTCAGAAGAGGTCCAGGACCTCGTTCCGATGCCCGGCGGCGGGTGCGAGGTTCCCGCCCCACCGCCCGGCATCGGGGCATCGTTCCGATGCCCGGCGGCGGGGTGCGAGGTTCCCGCCCCACCGCCCTGCTTCGGAGCAGCGCTCCGAAGCGGGGCGGCTGGGGCAGGTGTTCCCGCCCCCCCGCCCCGCTTCGGAGCACCGGGAGAAGCGATCTCCCCGTAGCCCCTTGCTTCAAAAGAGGTCCGGGGGCAGCGGGGAAGAAGCGCTGCGCTTCCCCGCTGCCCCCGGACCTCTTTTTGAAGCAAGGGGCGGTGGGGAGAAGCGATCTCGGGCGCCGCGGCGCGCAGGCGCACTGCTCGCTCCTCTTTCCGCGCAGGCGCCTTCTCTCGCTCTTTCGCCTCCTTTTCTTTCTCTCTCGATGGTCCGCCTACAAAGGAGCGAGGGAGGCGCCCGCCATGTTTGGATTTGCATCCAGCAGGAGATGCCGCCTCCGCCCCGCCTCTCCCGCCTCCCTCCCACGGCACACCAGGCAAGGTCTCACGGCACACCAGTGTGCCGCGGAACACCGGTTGGGAAACACTGCTCTAAAACAAACAAACAAAAAATCCTCAGAGCAGACACTGATTTTTTGTTTTAGAGCAAGGTGGTGCCCCTAGCCTTGCTCTAAAACAAAAAATCAGTGTCTGCTCTGAGGATACCATTGTTCCCAGTCATTCTGCCTTCATTTGTGAGCAGCTGCTCTTGTGGTTTGCTGCCCCCTGCAGGAGAGAGCTAAGCCAGCAAAGCTATACAATTTGTGGGCAAAGTGATAATCAGCTTCACTGTTTCCCCCACATGATTAGCAATATATCTCCAGGTCAAATGTTATGAAACAGCTATCATGATGTGGCCTTTTTTTTAAAAAAAAATGGGTTTTATAAACAAGAATAATGTTATGCAAACAAGTATACCAAGTTTTCTCATGCCATTTGTATACAGTCATACCTCATGTTACGTTTGCTTCATGATACGTTTTTTCAGGTTGCGTCCCGCGGCGACCCGGAAGTACCAGAAAGGGTTACTTCCGGGTTTCGCCGCTCGTGCATGCGCAGACGTGCAAAATGACGTCATGTGCAG